CTATCCATCTATCTATCTATCTATCTATCTATCTATCTATCTATCTATCTATCTATCTATCCTCAAGGCTTTTTACATTTTTTCTTCCTTCCATCCATCCATCCATCCATCCATCCATCCATCTATCTATCTATCTATATATCTATCTATCTCAACTCAACTCAAACTTTATTTATAAAGCACTTTCAAAACCATAAAAATGGACCAAGGTGCTGCACATAAATAGTATATAATCTAAAAATAAAAAACATCAAATATTAATAACATAGCACCAAAACATACAATATGAAACAAATCATTTAGAATTATCAGACCTAATCAAATGCCAAAAGCCTGCAAAAAATCTATCTATCTATCTATCTATAGTGCCATGAATAGGTTTTTGCCCCCTTCGAACAGATGAGAAACAAAATAGTTGACATGTATCAGTCTGGAAAGGCTTATAAAGTTATTTCTAAGGCTTTGAGACTTCAGCGAACCACGCTCAGAGCCATTATGCACAAATGGAGAAAGCTTGGAACAGTGATGAACCTTCCCAGGAGTGGCCGGCCTACCAAAATTACTCCAAGAGCGCAACGACGACTCATCCAGGAGGTCATAAAAGAACCCAGAACAACATCTAAAGAACTGCAGGCCTCACTTGCCTCAATTAAGGTCAGTGTTCATGATTCAACAATAAGAAAGAGACTGGGCAAAAACAGCATCCATGGGAGAGGTCCGAGGCAAAAGCCACTGCTTACCAAAAAGAACATAAAGGCTTGTCTCATATTTGCCAAAAAAATATCTTGATTAACCCCAAGAATTGGGGGTTCATTTCATAAAAAGAACATCATAGCAACAGTCAAACATGGTGGTGGTGGTAGTGTGATGGTCTGGGGCTGCGTCCAGCCGTCAGTTTGTGACCTCAAGCTCAGGAGCACTTGGGTTATGCAGCAGGACAATGATCCCAAACACACCAGCAAGTCCACTTCTGAATGCCTCAAGAAAAACAAAATTAAGGTTTTGGAATGGCCAAGTCAAAGTCCGGACTTAAATCCAATTGAGATGCTGTGGCATGACCTTAATCAGTCCTTTCATGCTCGAAAACCCTCCATTGTGGCTGAATGAAAACAATTCTGCAAAGAAGAGTGGGCCAAATTCCTCCACAGTGACATGAAAGACTCATTGCTAGTTATCGCAAATGCTTGATTGCAATTGTTGCTGCAAAGGGTGGCACAACCAGTTATTAGATTTTTAGATTTTCACGTAGTGCCAGGCAGGTTTGGACAGCTTTTTCCCTTAATAAATGAAATCATTATTTCAAAACTGCATTTTGTATTTACTCGGGTTATCTCTGTGTAATATAAAAATTTGTTTGATCTGAATCTTTTAAGTGTAACAAATACACAAAAAATTAAAAATTAAAAAAAAGGAAGGGGGCAAAAACCTTTTCACGGCACTGTAGATAGATAGATAGATAGATAGATATACTTATATATATATATATATATATAACTGCATAACTGAAACTACTTCTCATAGTCACCCTTTGTGTTCCAGGAAAGAATGAAAGTCATAAGTTTTAAATACCATGAAGGTGAGTAACTAATGATGAGATTTTTTTTTGAAGACGCTCAAGTGTAAACATTAAAGACTGGAACTAGGGCCTATAGACAGGAACTACAGAACTAAGAACCATAAATCCTAATATAAAAGTACAAACTAATTTTCAGGTTTAAATTAGATTCTGAATTGTTCTGTTTCAAAGTTAAAAAGGTTGCTGATATGGCTAAATCTAGATCCAGTGATTCACCAATATAGAGTACATGGCTGGTTATTGGACCAAAATAGAAACGCCAATACAAGTAGACTAATAGATTTCTGTTAGACAGACTGAGGTTAGCTCTGAGGGTTGAACTGTGGTCTTTCTACTACTTCGCAAAAGGCTAAACAAGTACTAAAATAGCTGCTTAAAGGGATAGTTCATCCAAAAATGAAAACTCTACCATCATTTACTCACCCTCAAGTTGTCCCAAACCTGTATGAGTTTCTTTCTTCTGCTGAACAAAAAATAGGCTAGATATTCGGAAGAATGTGGTTAACCAAACAATTGCTGGTCCATTTTTCATATTATGGGAAAAAATGCTATTGAAGTTAATGGGTAAATTATGTAAGTGGTGACAGAATTTTCATTTTTGGGTGAACTATGCCTTTAACTCTAAGGCAGCCTCTGATGATATAACTGTGAGGTATACATATAACTTTGTAACTTGTAACTTAGCTGTGCAAAATCCTTGGAGCAGACCAAAAAAGATGATGTATTTGGGACTCCAAAAGACAAGAACACTATTTTAAGACATCAGGAAACCTTTGAGAACTTTGAGCTTTCCTTCAACTTTGTTGTGTGACAGAAAATTCCAGTGGGATCAGAGAACACCAGGATGACCTCATTCTGCCAAGAAAGTAAGATGCAACACAGGGACACCCAAAATCTTGACTAAAATATAGTAAACTTTTGTTTGTGTGTATGATGAAATCAGATTTAACAACTTCACTGAAAACATTAATAATTATAAAACTTTTAGTTCCAGTGCTCAAATTTGATTCACTAGGATACAGAGTTCTAGGATACAGTCCAACAGCACTGGGACTTTTCAGTGTTTGTATCAATCCACTTCTGTTTTACATGTTCCAGATAGACTCTTGCATTATTTCATTATTAATGCATTAGTGGGGATTTTTCACTAAACATATTTGCAGGTTATATTGCTACGACAGTAAGTTGTGACAAACTGAAAGTCTATATGACTAAGTCATTGAATCATTATGCATTCAAACACACTCATTCATTCAGGAATAAAACAAATAACCATCTTTTTGAGTGACTCAATGAATCACTCACTAAAACATATCATTACTAGGGCTGCACAATGAATCAAAATAGCCTAAAGCTTATAAAGATACAGCATAGTGCGATTTTCAAATTGCAAAGGCAGTAAATACCTATATAATAAATAACTATTAATCTTATTATTTTTAGGCATAGGCGAGCTAGGCGGTCGCCTAGGGCGCCACCAGCTGAAGGCACGTACTGGCACTACATTTTAGCAGGGTTGTGATAAAGAGTGGCACAGTCACCCTGAAATATGACTGCCCCCACTGGATCCCCCAACATTATTGGGCTAGAGTACTGTCAATCTGACGATGCCT